TAAGCTGTTAGAAATTGACTTTATTCTGGTTTTATATGTATGGTGAGCTATTTTGTAGCAAAAGTAAATAGCTAGTTCTGTAATGCTTCTTAGTCTTGCCACAGCCAAGTGGGCTAATGGCCAGCACTGTGCAGAACTGCTCTATGTCAGTGCAGTATATGATCATAGCATTAGTGCCTTTTCCTTGTGGTACTGAGGAAGCCATATTTCCTTATAAAGATTATATATTTTTTGTATGGAAAATGAGCTTTAAATGAATTCTTTTGACTATTTGTAGTTAGGAAATCATGAACTGGCTTGACTATGAGAAGTACTACAAAGAGCGACACAAACTAAAGAGCTGTGATACATTATTCTATGAGTATATCTGGCTTTTAAATGGCTGGCTTCTGATCTCAGCAGTTTTCATCTTTTGCGTAGATAATTCATAATTCTGAGACTGGCCTCATTTATATTTAGTTCTTTTAGCAGTTACCCTTCATAATGGTAAAATACTGGATTTTTTTTTTTTCATTTTTTCATTTTCACTTGGGCTTTAAACGATGCTTTTCCCATTCCTTTTCCAGTTAGGTTTGTTAAGTCCTCATAGCTTTGAGGAGAGAGAGAAGAATGTTTCTTTAATATTGTTTAATGTGTTTATCTTGATAGAATGGCATTTACTTGTTCATTTTGCAAATTTCGAACGTTTGAAGAAAAAGAAATTGAGTCACATCTGGAGAGTGCAGCTCACCAGGAAACATTGGATCATATCCAGAAGCAAACCAAATTTGACAAAGTAGTAATGGAATTTCTTCACGTAAGACAACTGTTTTTTAATCTATATAATACTTTTACATTAGAAGGTAGTTAGAATTTACTATTTATCTTCAAAATACACTTAATTTATCATTGTTATTCCTTTTGCAGACAACTTTTGGCACAGCACTTACTACTAAAAATTGAAGCAAATTCAGAGTCTGTAAAAAAAGCGTTACTTCTACAATTAAAAGTAGTGCTTTAAGAAGTAACAGCAATTAATTGCTATTTATTACAGAGCTACTCTAAGTACTATTTTAAGTATAGGTTCCTACTGGAATATAAACAATTGTACATCAAATCTGTTACAATTTTTTTTCTGATTCTCTCTGTAGGAGTGTATGGTGAATAAATTCAAGAAGACAGCTATGCGTAAGCAACAGACAAGTAACCAAACGGAAAATGCTCAAGCTGCTGAAAAAGATATAATGGAAGGTGAGTAATGCTTTTTATGTGACAGTGCATAATGTGGAGCTCTGCTTGTCCTTTTCTGCTTTCATTCTTTTTCAAATTTGGTAAAATATTTGGATTAAAATTATAAGTTTTCACACCTTTCCTATACCTGGTTGGGATTCCTTGCTTCATTTCTGAGATAATGTGGAATGAAAGCACAGTGGGAGATAGAAAACCTTATTTAAGTTTACTATCCAGGTAGCCTTGTCAGAAAGTACAATAGCATTGTGCTAGATACTTGGCAAACAGAATGATGTGGGCTTTGCCACAGTCTTACTCGGTATAATGCATGAGGAGTGATAACAGGTGGATGCAGATAGATTGAAAAAGCGTGTGTAATAAAGCAATAAGGTGATAACGGTCAAATATGATGTCAAGGATCTGGGTAACATAAGTGGGATAGTTGCTGTGGTTTTGAGGGATGCTGACGAAAAGAGGAGTTGGAGCACTTTCTTGGCTACCCGAGATGCATCTTGGCCTGAACTTTTTTCCCCTTGGCTGCCCTACAGGCAGTTTTCTACAGCATTTTGTGTGTCCCTGTCTTGCTGGGCCATATCCTTCCACTTTATCCTTTGCTTGAGGGATTTCAAAAGATGTGCTTTTGAAACAGAGGGGACATCTTTTGAGTACCTTTACTCTAGGCAATAACTTTATTTGAATGTTACCTTAATTCAAATTTAATGCTAAAAGCTACTTAAAAATGGATATAGCCAACATCTTAATCTCCCAAACACTTTTTGTGTACTTTCTTTAAGTTCTGGAGGGCCCATTTACCTTTAAGATCAGAATTTTCTGTTGTCAAGCTAATATTTAAAATTGCAAGAAGACTTGGATTCATGTGCTGCTTCTTCATGGTGAGGGGAGGTGAGGAAATAAATTAGTTGCTCTTATGAGGGGTAAAGTAAATCTAGCTGCTTTGGTGAAGCTTTGTTTATTGTGTCAAAATGTGTATTAAGGATATTCGTTATTGTTGATTTTAAATAGATAGCATTTTTATACATTAAATGGTTCAATTTGATTGTTGAATCATTTTTACTTCCCTCTATTTAGGCAGGTAGGTGTTCATAAATCATAACCTCAGACAGCAAACATAATTGCCTGGGTCTCATATGTAGTCTGTGGAGAGAAGGAGTTGGAGTATCCAAGTGAAAAACTTCCTCCTTCAACATTGCCTTCAGAAAGCCAAATTTTGATGCCTGAATTTGGGTGAATATTCCCCAGTGGTTCAGTTTGACGTGTTTAACAACTGAGAGCTCTAATATTCTGGTATAAAACAATCAACCCCCTCTTCCACTTCCCTAGAATAACACATTTTGTGTTAATGATTTGTTGCATCTTCTTTGGCAGGTGTTACTGCTGATGACCATATGATGAAAGTTGAGACTGTTCACTGCAGTGCTTGCAGTGTGTATGTTCCTGCATTACACAGTTCTGTTCAGCAGCACTTAAAATCTCCTGATCACACAAAAGGAAAACAAGTAAGATATGACATATTATGCTTAATTTTTTTTTTAATAATCTAATAGTAGGTGAGAAGTGTTATGGTACTCAGTGCAAGTTTTAAGTTCTTGTTGGTATTACTTGTTCTCTAGAAATCTAGAATGTCTGTCCTTGTTACACCTTTGTAAACACAATGTCTCATGAAGTAGCCAGTGCTTAAGCACCCCCAGTTAGTGAAATGTTGGTGTCCTTAAATAGCTGCCAGTACTAAGTCCTGAGAATGTTACTGTCCTGGTTTTGTTTGGGATAGAGTTGTTTTTTCTTCCTGATGGGTGGTATGGTGGTGTGTTTTGGGTTTGGTATGAGAATAAAGTTGATAACACTGATGGTTTTGGTTGTTGCTAAGTAGTTGTAGTGCTTATACCAAGTCAAGGACTTTTCAGCTTCCCATGCTCTGCCAGTGGGGAGGGTGCACAAGAAGCTGTGAGGGGACACGGCCAGGACAGCTGACCCAGGGTGGCCAAAGGGATACTCCCTACCATATAATGGCATGCTCAGTGTATAAATTGGAGTTGGCCATGGGAGGGGGAAATCGCTGCTCAGGGACAGGCTATTAATCACTGGGTGGTGAGCAATTGCTGCATTGTGCATTACTTGTTTTTGTATATTCCTTTATCAGTAATGTTGTTGTTGTTGTGGTTATCATTGTTGTTTCCTCTTCTTTTGGTGTCCTATTAATCTGTTTGTATCTCAGCCCATGAGGTTTTTTTTCTCCATTCTCTCCCCCATCCCACCTGGGGCTGGAGAATGAGCGAGCAGCTGCGCGGTGCTTAATTGCTGGTGGGGGCTAAACCACAACAATTACTAGGAATGACTTTTTTTTTACTGCCATTAAGTGTTGGAAAGATTTTGTTATTTAAATCACAAAACATAATGTATATGTTTCCAGCAAGATAACAAACATGGGGTCTCTTCTTTTTAATTTGAAGAAAAGTGAGAGCAGTTTAGGATTAGCAGTGGTATGGTATTGGTCCCTGTTACAATTTATGATAGACTTTTAAGGTTGGTAGAAGAGTTGAAAGAGTAGCACGAGTGGGAAAAAATCAGCGGTCTCATTAAGCAAGGTTGCCAAAGTCATGTTTTGTTTATATATGACCTTCTGTGATTATGGAATATCATAGAATGGTTTGGGCTGGAAAGGACCTTTTAAAGGTCATTTATCCCAACCCCCTGCAACGAGCAGGTACGTCTTCAACAATGTTAGCCTGTGATGGAAAAGCATGCGTGTTATCTCTAGATGAGAACAGGTAACTGTGGTTGTAGTTCGTTATATAAGCAAGACATGAATATTATCTTTTGATCAAGCTAAAGCAACAAACTCTAAACGCTCCCAAACTTAATTGAGCTTGTTATGTGGTTTGGACTAAGAATGAGGATATCATAGAATCTTTGGCTTGGAAGGGACCTTTGAAGGTCATCTAGTCCAGCCTCCCTGCAATGAGCAGGGACATCTTCAACTAGATCAGGTTGCTCAGAGCCTTGTCCAACCTGACCTAGTTGTTGCCAGGGATGGGGCATCTACCATCTCTCTGGGCAACCTGTGCCAGTGTTTCAGCACCCTCATGAAAAATTTCTTCCTTATCTAGTAGAAATCTACCATCTTTCAGTTTAAAACCATGACCCCTTGTCCTATTGCTACAGGCCCTGCTACAAAGTCTGTCCCCATCTTTCTTATAAGCCTCCTTTTAAGTGCTGGAAGGCTGCAAGAAGGTCTCGCCAGAGCCTTCTTTTCTCCAGGCTGAACAACCCCAACTCTCTGACTGTCTTCATATGAGACTTTTTCCATCCTTCTGATCATTTTTGTGGCCTTCCTCTGGACCCTCTCCAACAGGTCCATGTCCCTCCTGTGCTGAGGGCTCCAGAGCTGGATGCAGGACTCCAGATGGGGTCTCACCAGAGCAGAGTAGAAGGGCAGAATCGCCTCCCTCAACCTGCTGGCCACACTTCTTTTGATGCAGCCCAGGATATGGTTGGCCTTCTGGGCTGCAAGTGCACATTGATGGCTCATGTCCAGCTTTTCATCCACCAACACCCTCAAGTCCTTCTTAGCAGGGCTGCTCTCGACCCCTTCATCCCCCAGCCTGTATTGCCCTGACCCAGGTGCAGGACCCTGCACTTGGCCTTGTTGAACCTCATGAGGTTCACACGGGCCCATGCCTCAAGCTTGTCCAGGTCCCTCTGGATGCTGCAGATCATGCTGCAATGTGTTCATTATTTTCCTTACAGAAACTGACCATGAATTCAAATTTGTGTGACAATTGTAATAGGTGTGTGATAATTACTCACTGTAAAATTTGTTTTCTAGGCCTACAGAGAACAAATAAAAAGGGAGAGTGTTCTTACTGCCACCAGTATCTTGAATAATCCTATAGTCAAGGCAAGATACGAGCTGTATGTGAAGGTAAGCTGCAAATGGGGGGGGGGAAGTCATCTGTAATGTTTGCTATACCACTATTTCCACCATGCTGATGGCATTTAACCTCAGTGCTCTGTCTTCTGTGTCAGCTTTCTAGGTAGCTCACAAATTTAATATACTTTTAATGTGTTTTGCCAGTCTCAGATCATTGTCTCAGATAACATCGCAGAAGAATTTACCACCTTCAGATTTACCAGCTTTTGGTTTTGATTTACCACTTACATGTATATCTAGTCAATTTTTAATTAGATGCTCTTCTTAAAAAAACACAAGCTTTAGGAAAGCATCAGCAGTGTCTTTATAGGTAATACTAACTGTAGAGCACAAAACACTTTACAAGGGAGTTGATCTTTTAACTTTAGAAGTAAAGGCTCCAGCATGTGGCTTTGTACAAAAGTACAGTGCATGCACTACTCAGCTACATTTTACTCCATAGAATTTCTAGGATTCATGGCAGCATAGAAAAAATGAAAGCTCACAACAGCAGTTTTTGTGATCAGAAAATTTAAAAGGCATGGCAGCCTATATTGCAGATATGTGGCCCGAGAAACATATGTGAATTCATTTTAGCAGAATGTGGGATTTTTTTCTTCTGGGCCAGTGAAGTGACTTTTTTCTCTAGCACCATTGTTAGCTGTTTCTGGTAGTTACTTTTAATTGGTTTATAATTTTGCCTGTGTCCAAACAATAGACTCTTTCAGACAAAGCAATACTGTGTTGCAGAAATATGACAAGGTATGAGCCAATGCGGAAGTTAATTGTGATGTAAAATGTCAAAATAGTCATGTCCTGCAAAATTATGTATGGTTTGGTGCGTGAATCAGTTTCAAACTGTTCTGTATCTGTTAAGAAAAGATAACAAATGACGGGATACCACAGCCTGGGATATCTGCATATATCTCCAGCCCTCTCTTCTGGTGTTCCTCATGGCCTGGTGTGCCTGTGCATTGTCCCCTACGGCCCCCTAGTGGGGGATTGGTAAAAGGGGAATGGAAATTTGTCATTCATCAGTTGGAAGACTGAGGAAAGTAAAATTTGCAAGGTTGCCTTCACAAGGAGACCACTGACAGTTTCGGAATGCCTAGCACTGGTATTTCCCGGGGTGGATTGAACTTGATACACTTTCAGCAGCACCTGCTCAGTGAAATGGGTCTGGCGTCTGCTTATGAAAAGCCCTCTCATCCTTACCCAAATGTATAATCAACTGCAGACTGAAGGAGTCCAGTTTTATTATACAGCATGTGATGAATCGGAGCATGCGATGTATTTGGTTCCCACAGTCTTCCAGGAGAATAGGAAATCCTTGTTATGGACAAAAATAGCTTGCGTTGACATGAAGGGCAGACTGGCTTGGGGAAACACCCTTCCCCATCCCCCAAGCAACAAACTCCAAAACCCCAACCAAACCAAACACACACAAAACACGCCTCCCCCCCGCCCCGCCCCCCAACCCAAACCCAACATTGTTTTGGAAAGTGTTGTCTATCCTGCGTATGCAGTGGGGAGGGAGGAAATTCAGAGCAGGGAAGACCTGCGAGAGAGCTGCATAGATTTGCACCAAGTCACAAAGGCAGGTCATCAACATTGCAAATGCCTTTGAGAAAAGGAGAACAAAATTGCAGGTCAGAGTTTCCTCTGATTCTTATATATCCCTATAATACAGTTTGACATGAGCAAAAGAGATAAAAGATTTTTATTCTTTTCTATTACACTGCTGGATTTCTCTGTGCATATTGGGAAGCTTGTTCTTTTAATGTGTGGCCTAGAAGAGGTGCATATCCCAAATAAAGTTGAATCAGGGCAAGTTCTTTTTCTGTTGAGGCCAGTACTGGCTTTTGGAACCACACCCTGCTGAGAGAGTAGTCATCCATCTCTTTATCACAACTGGTATTGGGGACCCACCTTCCTCCGTTGTGGTTTTGTGTGAAAAATTCTGCTTAAGTAATTTTGATTGCCCCATGGAGCTACTGAGTAACTGCTTGGAGGATGACAATTTAATGTAATTTGGGTTGATTGGCTGGCTAACACCTGGCAGCACGTGATCAATTTTGAGGATATTTGCTGTGTGTTGCGTTGTATAAGACTTTGCAAGGTTGAAGGCACTGGCTAATGTTTGACTGAAAATGAGGGAGTGGATCATGGCTTCTGGTCTAGAGTAAGCTAACTGCTGTCTTACTTGGGACACCTTGGCCACTTCTTCTAAGTAGAACGCCGTTCTATCTGTGACTTATTCCTCTACCCAGTGCTTAATGAAAGATCTCTTTTACCCTTTGATTTAATCTTCTCTCCAAACAGAGACTGCTCCGCAGATTGTTTGCTGTATGTGCAAAAGGAAAGAAAGCAAATAGATGCATCCATTTTAAATGAATAGCTTCAAATGTGTCATTCTACAAACACTCAACTTCCATTTTTCTTTAAGTACATGTTTCTAGTTTGCACTGTGAAGAGGGAAGCAGAAAGAAAATTTTTCTAGTCTGTAAACATTTCCAAATATGAAAATATTTAAGCATGAAGTTGGTTTTAGATGTTCAAATTTCACCATGAAATCATATTTTTAAGAAATAAATGCAAACTCGGTAGTATTTACCTGTACATGCTAAATAAGTATGCATTCTTGAACTCGAATCTTTCAGCTAGGTCTATAAGCTTGGACATGTCAGCTGTAGCAGAGGTGTAAAGGTTAAATCACCCCTCATAATTTTCACTGAGTTCAGCTATTTTTTAATTATTTTTGTTCTAAACATGGTAAATGTGCCTGGGGTGTCTACTGAAAGTGGAAGGATCTCTGTGGGGTTAGCCTAAGATTATCCCTCATGTGTTGTGTGTGGGTTTTTTGTTTGTTTCAAGCCATTTGCAATTAATGTCCCAGCTCCACAGAAGACAGCTTTAGCAAATTAGATGACGTGGCTTTAGAAGAGCTCCTGGTGTTTTATAAAGGCTGATCTTTGTTACACTTCTGGTCAGTGACTGGAGTTACAAATGGAAAGGAAAAAACAAAGTTCCAGACAGGTCTTGACAATGGTTGTTAGTGCCACAGCCAATGATAAGAGCAACAAGAATGCTAATGGTGGAGAATAGCGTTTCTTATATTTCTGTATATTCCCCAGTGTTGGTCTTGTGTGGTACCCTTTTCTGCTTCTAATGCACTCTTGTATGCTTTTTTTAAGGCGAAACGAAGAACTTTTTCTCCTACATGCATTTTGTAAAGAGTGGGGGGAAATCCACCACAACCTACCTGCTGGCCACTCTGAAACAATCATCTTGGAGGTTTTATGAACCTGTGGCAAGCCCCTTTATAATAAGGAGGAAAAAACCACCATCTTGTTTCTCAGGCAAAAAATTATCACTTGATGAAGTCATGACTATCTCTAATTTTGGACCATTTAGAACTTCCTAGATTAAAAGCAGCTTGGATGTTGCTCAAGAGAAGCATCATAGAGCTTGACATTTTCTGTCGCTATATCCCAGTACTGTTTGATCATGTGTGTTAGTGAAGGTATTCTAAAGTTTACCATTTACGTAGGCAGACTTTGGTATCTTTTTGGGTCAGGTTTGAGAGACCTGTTATAAATGGACAGAGAGAGTAGTTTCTGGGGACAGCTGAATCCTGAAGCTTTGGCTGTAAATACCAGTTCACAGTCTTAAGCTTTTTCTGCAATTTAAATATTCTAGAAACAAGGAAACCAAAGAATGCTTCACTTGGGAATAAACTACTTAACTGCTTGTGTTTTTATGCTCTGTAGGCATTGTAAAGTCTTTCTGCAGCAGTTCAGTGGTGTTTCTGTGTTCTTATTTTGTGGGGTTTTTTGTGTTGTGTTTTAAAGCCATCTGGGAAGATGGGACCAGTGTGGCTGTCAAAATCAACTAGCATCAAAATTGGCTCTGCATGCTGTGCTGGATGCTTCTGATGCTGCATCACTGGAAAAGAGTGCAGTTGTTAGGCACTTCCCCTTGAGGGCAGTAACTTTTTCCTTAGTCTGAGAACTTGAAAAGTGCATTTTTCTCTGAAAAAACAGTTGCGGAAAGAAACTTAATTTTTTTTGTTGTTGTTATTGTATAGAGATCTGTTCAGCCAGAAGTAGTGTGCTGAATCCAGTTCTTCTAGGTTAGCCAGAAGCAACATACTGTCTCCACAGGAATGAAGTGTAACAATTTTCTGTAGCTTGTCCCAAGAGTCAGGGACAGTCAGGAGCTGTCTGCAGGAGCGTGGAAGTAGTCCTTTTAAAAGTGCATTCTTTAGCTACAATTCATCATTATGCCTAGCCTAGACATGAGAGGATTTTAATATTTTCTTTTGTATTAGACCTATAAAAGGGCTTCTGATATCCTTGTGAATCGTTTACAGAGAAAGGCCACCTTTTTGTTTTTTTGCTAGGAAACAATTCTCTCTATTAGGCCATATGAAACTCTTAATATGCCTGTCTTCCCTCTGTAATGTCTACTGATGAGCATGTATTTGCAGCTAACCAGGGGGAGTATTCTTAACTCACTAATTAGCTTATTTCTATCTGTCTTTGGAAATCCTTTTTCCTGTATCCAAATGTGGTTGAAAATACTTGGCTGAACCTAAGGGAAATGGCAATAGAAGCTTTGCAGTTAGGAGGTCTTTCACACTTCTGTCTGAAAAGGAAAGTAGATGAGTATGATTTTGGGGAGTTGCACTAATCCTTACTGGATTCAAGTTTGGATACTCAGTCTTTTGATTTCACAATGCTTTCCGTTGATGTTGGAATTGAATTGGTTTGGGCACTCGCTATTCCATAAGCTTTTTCATGAAACTTTTTACTGAGCTAATAAATATTTTTGGTATTTCAGTGTTGAACACTTACCTATTCAGTGAAATACTCTGTGGTGTTTTGTAGCCCCATGGTGCTTTACAGTAATAGCGGATCATCCAGAATTGTCATGTTTTAACTGAGAGGTGAGGTTTTCTTGTTTTCGTAGGGCTCAGATAAGTTAGGATACCAGCATTCTATCTACTTGACGCTTACCTATGAGAATCTACTTCTAAAAAAGCCAAACTTGGTCTCTTAAAGAAGTTTAAACAGTACCTTATTCACGAGGTTTGTATGTGGCAGCTGTGTCTTTGACTAGGCTATAAGTTGATTGGGCTCAATGGACATTAACATCTAAGTGCTGTAGGCTGGCTATTACAAAGCGTGTGCACAAAATTATCTTGGGACTTGGAATAACATGGTCTCAAAAGAATTCTGCTTTCTTTGGGTTACTCTTTAAATTGGAATTTATGATTTTTCTTGATTTTTAGAATAACAATGAAGCCAAGTTTTTCTTTAGTGGTATTTGCTAGATGGTTTTTATAGCTTTCTAATTTTTTCAGTGATTTGTAGGCCACCTGGAAGACCCTACCTGAAAAATGTACCTGAGGTGAAATATTTAAGCAAAAAAAGACAAGGGGCCTACTACTCAGTTTTTCTTTTGGATCATCTTTTAAATAATATTCTTGAAATTCCAGTCCTAGTGTAGTTAGTGATTGGTGTCATACATTCAGATCAGACTTGCTCTGTCAGATGTTTGAACATGAAAGGAGCTTTAGTGAGGAAACTCCTAATACTTCATGTTGTTATTCTTTATTGATTATTCATAGTTCTTAAATATCTAAAACAAGTGAAAGCTGAGGTATGTCTTGTACTGAATTATTGTATGAAATAGACAAAATGTGAAACTAGAACGCTAAAGTATTTAAAATACTGTCTGAGAAATCTGGTTGATAATTTTCTAGATCAGCAGTGGAATGAATTTCAGGCTAGTCAGTGTAATTAATTCTAGATTTCTTTTTCATTTACTGAAGTTTGCCTTTCTGATAGGATTACGCGGAGTGAATAAAGACTGTAAATAAGGAAAAGCAGAACAAAACTCTTCTGTTCAGATTTGGTTTTAATTGGGGAGAAAAAGGAAGCAGCTATAGTTCTTAATAACAACATGTTGAAACATAACCATGTAATTTTAATTTACTGAATGCTGAAGTTTGTGTAGCGTACTCGGCTTTTTCTCAATGCCGTTTCTACTTCCATTTAAACAGTTTATTGGGATTCCAATTTCCAGTGTGAATAAAAATGAGGTGTTGCTAACTTTAAATCAAATCTGTTTGGATTTTCTTGCAAAAACCCACAAACTATTAAAAAGCTGTATACAAATACCATAGCATTTCTTAGTGGCTGCCCTTTTCATTCACTGAACTGATGACTATTATTTTGTTTTGTTTGAAATAAATAACAAAGTGTTGGTTTTCAATCTTCTGTTTCAGGGTGAAAATCCTTTTGAAATTAATGATCAGGCTCAGGAGCAGCAGACGGAAGAGGAGGACAAAGCTGATGAGCCAGCTGAGGGGGAGGAAGAAGAGGAGGAAGAAGAGGAAGAAGAAACTGAAGAACAAACTGACTTCACTTTAGACCACACTGAAGATAACTAAGTGCAAGAAAATGGAAATATATTAGGGGGGCAAAACGGCTTTTTATTTCTGCTCTAAAGTGGCTAAGACTTTTTAATAGTCTCGAATGAAGTTGTTGAAGATTCCTCACCATATGCATGCATTCCATTCTGTGGAGAACTTGTTTATATAATTCCTCTGTGTTTCTGATTTTGTTTAAAATGAAATGAAGACTATTTTAGTTGAGCTTTTTATAGCAAACTGACTGTTAAAGCTGATTAAAACATTGTGTTGTATATTTTTTTAAGCATCCTATTTTTTGGTGTGTGTATTGAAAGTTGGATATAATAATAATTTTTGGTCTAATCAGTTGAAAAGAAGGCGGGTCTGTGGGGTAAATACATTAAATGCTGTATGGCATAAGCTTATCATATTTACCTCTTAGTACAGAATGAGTAACTTCAAAACTTGTGCTGTTGAGTGTGGCTGTTTTGAGGACTGCATTGCACTCTGTATAATAGAGTATGTGTTATAATATGCCTTGTAGCTTTTTGTGATAAGATGTACCAGTTTGTAGCAATAAAACACTTAAGAAATGTTATGGTTTAAAGTGTCTATAGTTAAGTATTTCCCCATGCTGATTACCAAATTGGTTCAAATCGAATCTTGATTGATACTGTGATTGAAATTATTTAAAACTTATAGTTGCATCTTAGTGATTCATGTTATTTATTGCTGATTTTTGATGTATTCAGACTGCACCTACAGATAAGCATTTAAGCCTTTGTGGTGTGCCTAGGGGAAGCATGCTTTCAGTATATTTACATGCTGTGCACTGTTGTCTATCGTCGAAATTATATATAACTACACTTGATTTTTTCCATAGTTCCTTCTAATCTAGCTTTTGATTAATGAGAAGTGGAAATGTCTGATTTAACTATTTCTAAGTACAGCTAAGTAATTTGCATAAATTTTCCCTAAATGTGGTAACTTAACAGAAGTAACTGTACAATCTCTTGTATAAGCAGAGAGTGGACAGGGGTTAGATAGAATTAAAATACTTCTAACCTCAAATGTGAACCAACTTGCTTTTTCAGTGATCTGTTGTAGAGCCGGGGAAAGTGTGCAAGTGTTATGAGGGAATACTTGATTCAGATATTAGGCCACCAGAAAGTCTAGTAGCAGTCAACTATTAAAAATGCTGTGTATTGTAGTCATTTAGCTGTTGACTTTTAGTGTGACTTGGAGAGTAGAAAATACAACATTGTGAGGAAAGAGAGGGGAAACTGAGTTTGGTGCCTTGACCTCTTGTTTTCTATATGGCTTATATTTTTCCATTTTAAAAAAATCAGCATGATGTAGACTTGATTGTTGTACCTGTAAGTGGGTTAGCTTGGAACTAAAAGTTAGCATGGGTTGGTTGAAAGATGTGTTAAGCCTGCAGCTGGTTGAACAGTATCTCTTGGGTATGTAAGCTTAAAATAACAAAGTACTCCCTAGATCTCTAAACATTCATTCTCCTGTTCTCTATTTTAAGGCTAGGATTAAGATTCATATTTGCATTACTTTTAAGGTGTAATCTCCCCTTCTGCCTTACAAGCTGGTCACTCAACTATTTATGTGTTCTATTTGTAGATCCCTTGCCCTACAAGAGGAAGATGCTGATCTCTTCCCAGACAACTTAACAGGAACTGTATCATTGTTCTAGAAACTGGCGAGAGCTTTAGCATGAGAACTTGTTTGGAGTAGTTAAGAGAACTGAGATGCTGCCCAAATTTCTGCAAGTGATGGGCTTTTGTCTTTGTCTGTGGCTCCTTTACTAGTTGGAGAGAATTAAGTTGCTTCTAAGCAGCTTAGATAAGCCCTTCTACGTAAGATCTCAGTACTTTATTTCCATTGCTGTAGTAATTTTATCCACTATGACCTCAGGATCTTTGAACTCTAAGCATTCTTGACTTCACTGGTAATCTAAAATACATAATTGACTTCTGTATACTGACAGTTCTCGCCTATAAAGCGTGTTAAGTGATAGCTTAAACTTAGACTGGGGGGGGTAACTGATGATTATAATGGTCAAAATTACCCTTTTCTATAGGTTTACAACGAACTCTTAGTGGAGTTCCTGGGTTCCTTTTGTAGCTAATGTTTCAAAAAATTAAATGCATTTCCTACATCAGTAACAAAGTATGGAAGTAATTTCAGGGGGAGTAATGGCTGCCCATTCCAGATGACACAGATTCCTGGTAAGTTGTGCCCCCCCCTGCCCCTCCCGGTTATTCCAAACTGAGTGGAGATTGCATTTGTTTGTTTCAGAATCTCAGAAATAAAGACCAGAGTTTTAGGCAGTTCTGGATGAAGGTACCTGCTGGAATATACAGGTATATTTATTTACACATCCCTGCTAAGAGACCTTTCCGGTTTCCTTTGTATTCACCAAAGACCAGCTATGCGCTGTCAACCTCCTGACTGTTTTATGTTGGTTGCAGTAACATGTGCCTTTTCCTGTTTGTTTTTTTTTTTTTTCTAAAGAACCTTCTTGGAATGTTGACTACCTGAAGTGATACAGTTTATAAAAACACAAACAACTTGGGACCATAGTTATATCCCCCGCCCCTAAAGACCAGCTTATCTAAAGGAAAGATCAGTGGAAAACTGGTCTTGAAATGTAGTTGGTGGTGGTTCACACTCCCGATGATGACTGGTTACTAATGGTGTTTCTTGGAGAGTCAGCTGATTAGGGAGAAGCAATTGTATGGAGTTGCAGCAGCTGGTGGGTATAGGTCCTATCCTGGAACTGATATTGAGAGGTTTGATAAGAAATCTTGAGGTTGGTAAAAAGTGGCATCAGGCGATGTTAAGTATTTCAGGATGTTTAAAAACATCTGTTGGGGAATAAAAAAGGCTGTCCTAGATTACAGGCAAGATCTTTTTTTGATCCTGTTCTAGTGCATGAGCTGTAGAACTTTAGTGTCTTGAGTGGAATCAACAGAGAAGTGTGGTACCTCTGATCTGAGTAATCAACGCTTCATGAAATGTTTCAGGTGAGAATTTCCTTTGCACAAGAACTGCAAGGATTTGACTTGCACAGTGATACTAATGGTATTTTATTTCTGTTGGAAGCATGTTGCTGCATCTTTAATCTTACAAGACTGCTTAATGGGGTTGGTTCATAGTTGTTGTGCTGAAGTACATGCAACTAGTCTCATGTTCTTACTGCCTCTTTCTGGAGCTAGAACTTAAATCTTTTTGCTCTGAGAAATGTTGAAAAAATATTCTGTGGGGTTTTTTTGTGTGTTTCGTTTGTTTAGGGTTGAACTTGCAAGGTAGCAAGTACAGCAGAAAGAAATATGGACACTAATCCTTGCAACTTAGACATACTGAATAACTACCATATGTATGTGTTCTTTTGTGTATTGCAGTTCAAATGCACCAGGCTTTTAATATGCAATTATCTCTTGCCACACAGTATAACTGTAGAACAATTAGCATCACACCCATGTAATATTTAGCTTGTTTTCATGCTACACAAAGGATTGAAACCTTGAAATGAGCCTGTAGATTTTCTTGCTTTGGCTTTTCCCATATTGTTTACAGTTAACAATAAATTAAATCGATTTTCAGCTTGCTGAAATATTAACTATACATTTTCTCGCTGTCTTCTGCCAACAGACTTCTATCAAAAAACATCAAGCTCTTCTTTAAATGCCAATCTAATCTTCCAATATTTTTCAGATGCTGGAATACCTCCTGCTCTTTTTAAGCAGGACTAAAATAGATGATCCAGAGCTTTTTTTTCAGTTGGTTATCCTTCCACTAAATGAAGTCCTTGCCCACTCAGATTTTAGGATTATAGGGAGAAACTTTATCATAAGGAATGCCCATAACTGTCAGAGTTGAGTCTCTCCTAGATGCTTTCTCCCAACTTAAAGCAAGGAAAAGGCTTGTTAAGTCCCTCATACTCTTGGGTCTAAAACCTGCAGTGAAGTCCCTCAAATCATGTGAGGGGATTGAAATTTTACAATAAGGTTTGTTAGCAATGAAGGTTTGTTCTGAGTTAAGTATAAAATTGAATAACATCCGTTTAATTTGTTTTTAAGTTACCTAAGTTTTTAGACTTGAAATATTGTACTAAGTCCTGCAGCTCAATTCAGAGATTTGACTGGTTTTAAATACAGGTAGCCAATGAATAAGCCTTTTTGTATAAATAAAAATGTGTATAAACTGAAGTCCAACATCTAAAACAAAAGAGCTTCTGATCTTATTCTACAAATCTAAGCTTTCCTTATCCCATCCTTTGTTACTTCAAAGCTGATGCCCACAGGAAAAGGAATAAATACCTAGAGGGTGAACTGGAGCATCAAAATCTGCTGAGGCAAAAACATAAAAGAGAAGGCTTCTTAACAAGACCCCAAGACCCCCTACTAGCCTCTGATTCTGATTTAAAACAAAGTTCTGCCTGTATGCAGAAGTGTGGTGGTTTGTGGGTTGGTTTTTTTGTTTTTGTTTTTTCTACATCACCCTCCCACCCCCTGATTTGAAGAATACCAGGTGTTATGACAGAACAATGAATAAGTAACCTGCTTGCCTTTGTGGTCCCATGTACGTCAAACATTTGAGTCTTCAAACCAAATGTGCCTGTTTTTTATGGAGACTTGCTGTCTTCATTCCTCTTTATTCCATACATCTTCCTCGTGGACTCTAGAACACGTGTATTCCAAACTATTTCTGTGTTTGTAGGGGTATCTATATACCCAGAGCTCTGAAGGTAAGTCAAGAATGTTGGGAGCTGTTGTGGGGTACCAAAAAAGCTAAGAATGGATAATATGTTGGCAGGAGGAATGCATATATTGTGAATAAGCACAACCTACTGCATATTTAAGTGAGTATTTGTCAAAGATTGTTAAAAGCAGAACAGCTGCATGGACTTAAGAGCTGCAACTGTCAATGTGCTCCATTTAAAAAAGAACATCTTGGCCAATATACAATGCTTTTCAATCTTCTCACTTCAGAAAGGTCATAACATAGATGTTCTTCATCGCCAGCTAATAACATTGTGGTCCAGATTCTTTTATTTTCTTTCAATCAGTTTGTAAGGTTGCTGTATCATTAAACCATCAATTGGTAAGGTTCCTTCAAGAGTTTCTGTAAATCAGTATTCCTCTTTTCACATTGAGATGATTGAAACACGTTGGAATCTGTCTGAATTTCCTAGAACATAGCGAAGATAAGCGTATCATTACTACACATGTGGCAGTGAACAGTTTACAGTTGCCTTAGATCTTAAATGTGCTTTATATTGTCTGAATATTTTAGTCTGTTAAAGCATCCATCTGGAAGCTACTTACTCTGAGGGAGGGGACTGTGATGGCAGACCACCAATTTGTTTAGCATGCAGTCACTATTTACCCGGAGTACAGTGGCATACTCTGTTAAGGCCATAGATTTATAAGGCTGGAGAGAACCACTATTGTGTAGCCATCCTAGCTAATGTCAGCTGTGTTTTGCTTGCTGATCAAACATCTTTTTGTTGGGCTAGAATATGTATTTTAGAAAGTAATTTATTTTAACTTTTATTATTCAGACAAGAGTGGATCTTAC